AGATATATAGATAGGAGTTCCTGGAAGTAACATAAGCAGAAAGTATGGTTACTAAAATTGTTTTAATAAACATTAACAAAATGTTTATTAAAAATACATTATGGGAGCTCAATTGTTGCTGATAGCTGTGATTTAAGAAAAAGCTATTAGGATTGTTCCCCATTTCAGAAAAGCTAAGGAAAAAGCATAATCTTTTTCTAAGTTCTTTAAGAACCTCAGCATGCTTGGGAAGTGCTTTGATATAAGAATTAAAGATGAATGAAAAATTCTGATTATGCAGATGCATTTAATCACATGAACTTTTCTCAAACTCTGTTTGCAGGATATACCTTATTTTTGTGAAAGAACTGCGCATATGAAACAATTCCAAGTCTGGAGAAATGAGAGGATTTCCTTGTCAATCAAACCTATGCATTTCTGTCTGTAATTGCAGGATCAAACTATCTAGTACTATTATTCCTTACTACTCAGATATTGAACAATTTGAGTCAAAACTAAGTATACTTCGTGTGATTTACTGAGCAGAGGATAACAAGCCTTTTTCTTTTTCTTTAAAAGTCTAAAAATGAGATTTGCAGTCACTTGTGACAGATTCTCCAACTAGTTTCTTGTTGAGTTTTGGGACTATAGTTCCCACCACTCCAAACTATCATCAATTTGCAGTAAGATTAGGGGTGGGTTTCTACCAGTTCTGTCCACCTCTGTAGAACCGGTAGTTCTGAAGAGCAGCAGACATAGAACCAGTTCTATGTCTGCTGATGTTTTTGCCCACCCGCCCACCTGGGCTGTTACCTGATCTTTATTTCCTGATTTTTCAACTTCAGCTGCCGAGGCATAGCTGCAGTTAAAAAAGCAGGAAAAGAGGGCTGTTTCAAAGGCTGCTTCTCTGCACACATGCTGATGACACTTTACCTGGCTCGCAGCGGTGCAGGGAAGCACATCATAAATCATCGAACCTCCTAAATCCCAAACTGGTAGTTAACCCTGTCGTCTCCCACCCCTGAGTAAGATCCCACTTTAGAGAACAGGAGACTATATAATACAATATGAGAAGGAAGTTCAGGAGTTAGTTATTGTGGAAACTCAAGAGGAAAGTAATTCGTTCTTGCCTTTTGTGGTTTAAAAAGGAATTAGTACTTCATGATTACAAAGCCATTGGATTATCAATAACCTGAATCAGCACACTTTGTTAACCATTACACTAGTGCTATGGATGGGTTCATCCATCCTGTAAACTTTGGTTTCTTTTAACCATGACTTGTTGAATAAACTATGGTGGCCTGGTTCATAAAAATACCATAATGGTTTAATTAACATAACCTTAAGTCAAAACAAAAACCAATCACATTGTAATTTAGCTTCAACTTAGCCAGCATGCTTTGAAACTTCATAGTTGCCAAAAGTGTCAGCTAATCACCTCTAAATTCAATACATACTGGTAAAGGACAGATTCAACTCATCTTACACAAAATCAACCCTGAAGCTGCACTAGTATAAAGTGCTGAGAGAGCCTGAAAACAGTTCTGGCCTTTTCCCAATCTTTTGCACATCTCTTTGGATTCATGGCCCCTTGAATTTTTGCCATGTCTCTTTGCATGTGGGATAAGCCTTATTAGATCTTCACCTGCATATATAAACCAATTTCCTTCTGAGTAAAAATGTGTATTTTTAAGAATCCGCATTCAGCCTTTATAATAGTACATAGCAAGGAAGAACAAGATACATTGAGAGAAGGTTAGAGACTAAATACAAAAGATTACAAGGTAATATGACAAGCTGCCAAGCAGGAGAAGAGAAATTGGGTACTCCCTATTAACTATTGGTAGGGAAAACAAGAGAATCAAATGTGCATTGTGGAAGTTATTCAAAACTCTGGGTGGCTTCAACATTTTTTAAAATAATAATAGGGATAAAATAGTATTCTCCACTCTACATTTTCTCATCTTTCTAAAAATAGTTTCTGCTTGCTTACTTTGCCCTTAGACTGGTGTTTCCAACACTAGTCATTTTAAGATGTGGGGATTTGAGTCACAGAATGCTCTAGCCAGTATTCCCAGCTGATGTATTCTGGGAACTGAAGTTGATACATCTTAAAATATTAAAGTTGCGAAACACCGCCTTAGATCTTTCCTTCCCTATTTCATCTTTTGTCTATAAAATTGTAGTGGCACTACAATTTCACAATTATAGATGTACATAGCTACATATACAGAAAAATCTAGGTTCTCATGAGTTACTTGCTCCTGGATAAGGATACCATATGCTTTCAGAGGACACATCTTTTGAAAACTTATTAAAGGGTTAGCAAAGTAAGTGACTCACTGTTATGCTCTACTAACCTTCCTATTATGCCATTAAACCAGGGCTAGTAACATACAACCTGCAGAAATGGTTGACTGTAATTTAAATTCTGGCAGGGATCCAGAAATATATGTTCCTGTTTTCTGCTTTAAATTAAAGTGCCTTTTATAGCTCTGCATCTTTTAACTGCAGAGCAGAAAATCAGAATATTGGTTGGGAATAGAGTTACAATAATCCCAATGTATCTAGAGAATGGAGGGATATTGGTTTTAAGTGATACCTTTTATGCTGAATAGCTGTCTCTATCTTACAGGCTAACATGCATTTGAAATCCTACAGTATTTGGGAGCAGGATAGATAGGCTTGAGTAAGAAAAGCTACAGGTAAAGGTTGAACAATAGGCTTCATTTTCTTCACAAGTTTTTTTCTTCGCATTTTCCATCTGCACAAAGCAATTCTAATTTTTTTTTTAAATGTAAAATATATTATTAGCCCTTGATCAGCATATATGGTTTAGCTAATATAGCTGGATAAGCTATACCTTCACATAGCATGTGACTGACTTTAAAAGACAGAAAGAACTGACCATCAATGCAAGTAAAACCTGAATACATTGAATAAAAGCCATCCTTTCAAAGAGGAAGTTTAAAAATGCCCATGCCTTAGAACTGAGCACAAATATGAAAAAGAAGTTACAGCAAGTTAGATTTACAGTCGTATATGTACATGGCCAATCAAGAATAATTTAAACCAGAATATATCCACTGATTTCATTCAGGGGTGAAAGAGTAGAGCAAAGTTGGGCTCTTATACAATACTAATAATTATTATAGTTCCAGCAATGGGATTGCAAGAAACTTGGTTCAACAGCATAGGCATCTCTGCTATGGAAAAATTGAAGCAATTAAAAAAAATCCATACAAAGTTAGAGGCAGGTAGAAAGAGATTCTTGAGTTCCAGTACTTTATATATAGCTATGGATTCCTTCCAGATAATGCAGAAATGCTTGTGAGATCCCACACAGGTGTTAAATGGTTTTAAGACTGTTTTCAAGGCTGGATTCTTTTACGGTAGAGATAGGCATTGCTCACTTGGTTCATGATAATCAAACTGGTGAGAATAGGGCACAGCATAATTAGATACCAGGAGATTCCAGTCACAGTTGTGGAAAACCACAGGGAACACATGCCCAGCATCAAGCTAGAACAACCAAGTAGATACCCAATCAACCCTGATGTGGCATGGTACAGTTTCAGTTTGCTCAGGGTCCAGTTCTTCATTAGCTTGGGGTAGAGCAGGGCGAGCCCACCCATGCACTGCAGGGTAGCGTATACCACTGTCAGCAAGCCAGTCTGGCCATGCCAGGTGACAAAGTGCTCTTTCCCATTGAGGTACTTGTTATAGCTGATAATGGCCAATCCCAGCAATGCACAGATGAGAGCAAGCAGCTGTAAAGCCCAGTGGAAGCGGACCTTGGCCTTGCGGGAGAAGGACCGGAGGAAGGAGCTCTCTGGAGAGAAAGTCAGCAGGGCCTCTGTCATCAGGAAGGAAAACTGGGAGAAGGGAAGACAGAAAAAGACATAAGGGTGTTCCCACATAAAGATTAGCTTCAAAAAATATTTAGCAATACTTCATGTGAAAATGTGGGAAACCACCAGATATTTAGTGAGGCACTAATTTGTCAATGGGGGAGGTTATATTCAAGAAGATACATAACTTTAAAATGAAATTCCACAAAAGAGAAAATACCAATTTAGAGAGACGGTATATAGAGAGACTCATTCTTGAAACAGGGCAGCAGAAGTTCCATAGTGAAGAATACGCACCTGCCTCTTATGCGCGACAAAGTATTCTGCCTTTTGGCATGAAGAGCCAGCAAATTGAACAACTTGTTATAAAAGACATGGAGCTTAATCCATGTTAAGTCTTTGCATGAAAGGCTCTTATTTCACTGTCATCTTCTTTTCACTAAAAGAAAACCGGCCATATTGAATTGCCATTCATAAAATGGCAGACACTTCCAGGATTGTCCCACATGTGGTTGTTCATAAAATGGCAGCTGCTTTTGGGATTGTGCCACACAGCCCAGCAATGAAGCAGTTTGTTCTGTTTCCTAACATGGTCTGTGCAATGCTATAGGAAATGCCAGGCCTTTATACAGCATTGCGCAATTCATATTAGTTGACCATAATGGATCGTTCTGTTACTGGGCTGCCATTTCAGTGCAGCCACAAGGAACTGTGTTGCTAGGCAACACAGCCCAGCAGCAAAGCAATCCACATTGTGGCTGCGCTAAAATGGCAGCTGCCTCTGTGACACAGCTGTACAGCCTAGGTGTGAAAGATGGCGTGGCATGTCCTCCTTCCCCAATGTGAGCTATAGAGCTCTGGAGAACTTCAAAAGCCAAGTGGATGATGGGGCAGGAGGCCAAAGCCCTGTGGGAAACCAGTGCAGAGAGGGAGAAACAGGCACAAGGGCTGTGCAGATCCCAAGGGGCGGGAAGTGGAGCCTGGAGTGTTTCATGGGGTGAAGGAGGCCTTAGGAAGCCCAGGGCAGGTGGGCATCAGCCAGGATTTCTAAGACCTTCCTCCCCCACAGGCAGTCTGTGTTCCACTTAATGACCCATATAGTCAGTCATAAGTGTGTGTGTGTGTGTGTGTATATATATGTATGTGTGTATATGTATGTGTATGTGTATAATAATAACGCAAAGGCTGTGAATCTCAAAGATTCACCAATAATAATAATAATAATATGGGCCATATTTTAACAATTGTAGTGGGTGGAAGTTATTAAGGGAGGTGCTCTCTCAACTGTAATGGGCAGGCTATATTATCATAAATCAAGGATTACCTGCATATATTTCAGAAATGATACCCAATAGTAGGAGAAAGGAGTATTATATATATCTACTGCTTTGAGTTATTTATAAAAACAATGCAAGACAAAAAATCTAGAAAACATAATCTCATTTGTCTGGCTTACCGCAAGAGACATTAAGAAAGGATGCCAGGAGAACAAACCTGGAAAGGAATGAAAGCAAAATCAATCTCGGCTGGCTAATCATGACTGAAAAGATACTACCGTGTTTCTCCAATAATACGGCCTCCCCCAATAGGAAGTCCCAGCATGCTGTATAGGCATAAAATCAAATTAAGCCCCTGCCCCCAAATTAAGGCCTATATTAAACATGTGAAATGGGGGGGGGAATGACGGGGGGGCTGGCCGTTAGGAAGTACTTTTGTTGCATACCTGGATATGGTGCTGCCTGCGTTGACCTTGGCGTTGGTGGGGCACTTCATATCGGGAGACCTTCCGCCACTGTTGCTTTCCCTTCTCTCCGTGCTGCCGCAGCATTTAAAGCAACGCCACGGCATTTGGCACAGCCACGCACAGCCAGCCAGGGCTCCTCCCTGCAACCGGAGCCCGGCGGAGACACTCG